AGACTATGTATACAACTACATAACTAAAAGAATAACGAACGACTGCTACATACATCCAGACTATGTATACAACTACATAACTAAAAGAATTGAACGACTGCTACATACATCCAGACTATGTATACAACATAACTAAAAGAACGACTACATAATCTAAAAGAACGACTGCTACATACATCCAGACTATGTATACAACTACATAACTAAAAGAACGACTGCTACATACATCCAGACTATGTATACAACTACATAACTAAAAGAACGACTGCTACATACATCCAGACTATGTATACAACTACATAACTAAAAGAATTGGAACGACTGCTACATACATCCAGACTATGTATACAACTACATAACTAAAAGAATTGGAACGACTGCTACATACATCCAGACTATGTATACAACTACATAACTAAAAGAATGACTGCTACATACATCCAGACTATGTATACAACTACATAACTAAAAGAATTGGAACGACTGCTACATACATCCAGACTATGTATACAACTACATAACTAAAAGAATTGGAACGACTGCTACATATTGTACATATAACTACAATTTCTAAATTTCTTAATATCAAGTTTCAATATTGTCAGATACTGCAAGCAAACAACACCCTTTGTTGCCATTAAAACTATTGATAAATTGTGTTTAAATCAATAGAAACAGCTATAACTAATGACAAGACTTATCTGATAAAGACTATAGCATGATTTAAGATCGTGTTGATCATTGTTATTTCCACTGAAGTGAAAAACCTCTAAATAATTCATCGAATATCTTCTCTATTTTGTTAATAATGTCCACCATTTTCCAATTACAAATTTCCAGGGTAAAATGGCTTCATTATATGTTTACAAAGAATACCTGAAATATATTCATTACAAACAAGTAGTTCAACAGTAAATCATATTAATTAGTATCTATTAACGAGGTAGTCAATTGATGACAAAACGTCAGTTCTCTATCAAAAACCCTCCAGCAATATGGTTCAAGTATGTTGCTAAATGTGAATACCATGTTGTCACGGTGATGTTGAGAGCGGAGATGTTGAGGTAATGAAAGAGGCCTAACTGGCTTGAGGCTGCTTTTTCATCTTCAGCTAAGATGGAGATACTTGATTCTAGAATCAAACATTTTAGGAAAGATTGCTTTGGGGTGAACAAAATTGAATATGAAATTTGTCAATTTTAATAAGTGTAACCTAGAAATTTTCTTTTCCATCTGTTCAATTAAGACTTATTTACATCAGATCAATTCAAGAGAATATGTTTAGAATTATAAAGCAACGAAAGGATTATCTATGGAAATCTGCTTTCATAGTTAAAATACCCTTTTTTCCCTACCACAAATATGTCCATTTCAAACTACTGAATTAATAAATTTGCTAAAGAAGAGAACTAGACAATGAAAATTTCCCATTAATCAACCCTGATGTTCGTAATAGGTCTAAATTCTCTATAGTCTTCATTGCATGTATCAAATGTTTTCCTGTCATACAAGTCATAATGGAAGATGAGGTCGCTGTTCATCATTTTTGTAGTGTAATCACACTGGAATGTCCTAACCTGTCATTCAGTATACAATTAAAAGTTCTTTCACAGAGATCTATTCTGTATGCATATAAAGTCAAATTTTCAAATTTTATATGAATTGTGAATGCTTTTTATCCCTTTTTGCATGTTTTTTGCCTGAACAATTTCCATACACAATTAAAGTGGCACACAGTGTGTGAATCTTCACCAATCCCACAAATAAAAATAGAACTAAAACAAATTTAGCCAAAGAGAATTCTATGACACAATGTCACTCTATCAGTTAACACTTCTATTGTGTACCTATAAGATTGTCTTGCTATCCAATCATTGACTCTGGCACCAAGACCTATCTTATAACAGACTGGCCCTTTAAAACTAGTATCTCGACCGAGCAGTGCCTGCCAGCAAACTATGATCAGTACAGCCAGCAGATAAGATGATATGTTAAAATATCTTACAGCATGACATTGAACTCCAGCAAAATATTACTCATATATATAGACAGTAATCTAGCGTTTAATAGCTGGAACATGTACACCTGATTACACAGCACTTAACCCCAAACCAGCACACATCCCATGCTTCTATAGAATTTTGAAAATTTCAAAACCTTCTATGACTTATCTTTCACATGTGATACTGACAATTTGCACATTAACATGATGAAATTTGCATGACACTTTTCAAAGATGTGTTTACTCTCACAGGAATATACCAGAATTCCTGTCTCCTACGAAACACTTGAGACAACACTGGCATTTGTATAAGTTTTTCTCGACGTTTTGCTTTCTATGTTTTTCACACATTAAATTTGTTTTGCTGTCTTCAAACTGCCAGAGTCTAAATATTCTGAAACTGGCACGATTAGGAAATTTTATTGCATTTTAGTTTTTCAGGCTTTAATGTGCTGATCTTTTTTATTTCTTTGGTTTAAAACACATCAACATCATGGAAGCAGTGTGTGTTGTCAGAAATGCAGTTAAAGAAATATTGGCACTATGAATGAAGATAGAGTTTGTTTGTGCAGTTCATATGAGTAACACTGGGTTACAGCAACCTCCAAAACTATCTGCAAGTTAATGCTAAAAATAAAACAAGTTCGGTATCATTTAATTCATGACCATCCATTACCGGTATACACAGAGATAGAAACAAGGAGGGGTTGAATTATTTCATTATCTTCTGAAACCCCCAACACTAACCAAGAATTAGGTAGAAATAAACCACACATTTGGTGGAAACTATCTCCCTGACTGCTGTGCTTTTGTCTACCATTAGACTAGCATACGGGTAATCAAAACCATCTCACTGGAAATTGACTCCCGCATGTCAATCAAGATTTGCCTGGGTGTGATTATACATTGGAGAGAATGCCTACTAGAGGAAATCCACATCTTTTAAATATATAGCTGATCCTCTCATGTATATCATACAATTTATATCCTAATAATACAGATGGTGAGAATTTTATCACATGAAACTTATATCATTTCTAAACAGTGTAATGTATCATATGAAATCTATGTCCTCATATGTAGAACTTCATACTTACTGACACAAGTTAACATGGAATTCAAGTCTAAAGTACAAATTGATACCCATAATGAATTACATTGAAAGTTACCTGTTGAAACAGACCTACAATCAACTCCACTACCTTTCTAATTCTAACTGCCAGCTTTCTATCAATACTGAAATCTACATGATTTATATATCATAAACATGTCCATTATAATTATTTTATAACATGCAAGCCATCCTTACAGTTCTACCAAATATTCCTGTCAAAACTGGTTTTAGTTCTGTAAGTAGGAAAATGACTATTCCAGCATGCTGCTAGGAATAGAATTGAACATTTGTTGTCGCTTTTTAAATAATTTCAATCAATTTTGATATTGAGTCTTTTGCACATACTGCAAGTCTTGCATAAAGTTTGAACCTCCCTTCAAATTTCAAAAATGAAATTTCAGGAAATATATGACCTCTTGAAATTAAAGCTCCTGCAGATAGTAAAACATAAATGCTGGCATGCTGAATATAAATGATGGATGCATTTAAATTGAGATGTCCATATATTCAATAAGTTCCTCAAAATAAAATCTGATATGAAAATTATTTTCATCAACAGCTTTACAAAATAAACTCTGAAATAAAAATTGTTATCAACAACTTTGAAATAATAACTCTGTACTTTGGTATGTTGATTGTACATAATTGACACTAGGAAATGATAAAAGCCACAGCCCTTCAGATCTTCAGACAAAATCTCACTGAAGCTTGTCAATTGCATGTCATAGAATTGAAATCTAGTCTACTGATGGGTCACATGTGGTGGAAATTTACATCCTCTGAGACCAGTATTCTATCCACTGTGTGCATCACATCAAGGGTACACATTTTATTGGTTAAACACTGAACCTAGAGCTGTCAGATTCCTTGTTCCCATATGTAAAAACTTTATTCTAATTATTATAAAGACTTGAGAAGTTCACACCCTTTCAATCATTTCAGCGCCAATAGACTTGTTTCTATGTTGTTTTTTTAAGACTAATTGACAGCAGGTTGGGGAATTTTACTACACCTGACTATAACAGTACAGAACACTATGGAATAACTGTTTATGATTAGCTAGTCGACATGGGAGGCCGAAACATTCACACATTTACAAATGACTTTTTGATTTCCTTCTTTGTCTCATTCACTTGAAAGTATGCAACTTGGATAAGCACAAGTCCTTTACATTTCTACAACATAATGAATTCGTTAACACTAAACAAAAATTAGTTTGTTTTGAAAGCTGTCATATATTGTAAGTACAAGAGGGCATGGATAGTGTTATTTCTCCTAGAAAGTCATAATCATTACAACTGTATTTTTCCTGTCCTAACAAAGGGGTTTCAATAACAACCAAGAATTTACTAACCTGTCAACAGAATCTGAATTCAAACTCAAATTTGATAAAACTAGCACAAAAAATGAACATTAAAAAGAAAGATTTACATGAAGATTCCTGAAAAAAATATGAGGAAAAAAAGGCCAGGTGATTTTTTTTTAAAAGAGCAAGCAAAACAAAATATAATATACAAATTGTATATAATGAATTACTGCAGTGCTAGAGAAAGTCCTAATGTTCAGCTGCTTGTCTAATATAGCTTACAACCTCTAAAGGAAAAATGATTTATTTGTATCAAACTTTATCTGGAGGGTATATTGAAAGGATTAAATAAGGATCATATTGATGTCTACAAGAACAATACTTTCACACAGCACAATCATTGTGTGGACCTCCAAAACACGTTTCTGTTACAATTCCTTTAGATTGATGGCAAGTGCTGGTAGATTTCATATGAATGTGGGCTGGTCTCATCTCTAACAATGTGTTTTTATAGAGATATGAATTCCAAATACTGATATTCACCTTAAGAGGCATTCCTTATAGATCTCAAAACTGACCTTTAACCCCACATTTCAACGTGCCCTCTGTGGATTCGTCTGAGTAGTCACCACAATGGTCGACATTGTCACATGTAAGGTCCTCGTCAACACACCATTCGTTTGTACACTTAAACCTTGATCCGCATGTACCATGCTCTTTGAAATCTGCAAAGACAAAACAGAAAAAGAGAACTTAAAAGAAAATGTGAAAAATTAATCTTCTGATTGACAAATATTATCTAAAACAAAGGAAACAAGATCCAATGTCCGGTCTGGTAGATTCAGTAATATCGACAGTCCTCCTGGTGGAATACAGGAGTCTGGCTCAAAGATGTGTAAACAGCAAATACAGAGGACCAGACAACATTCGTAGGAAAAATTAAAACTGTTTAATAGCTACAAGTTGCACAAAATAGGTGTGTGCGTTTTATTTGTAACCTTAGTCCTAGAGATAGTATAAATAAAAATGTGTTATCACAGTTAAATATCTTAAACGTGGAAAATAGAGCAAAACAATTATGTCTCAATCATATGTACAATGTATTCCATGGAACATGTCCTAGTTACTTTTTGTCCAGATTCACAAAAGTTTGTGACCAACACTATTATAGTACAAGGAATTCTAGTCTGAATTTTGTTGTGCCTTCTTGTAAAGGTCAAATTTCAAAAACGTTTTATTTTAACGGAGTAAAGGCCTGGAACTCTCTTCCCGTGGAAATACGTTTGTCTAGCGGGAAACAAAGTTTTTAAAAAAGCTGTTCGATATTTTATACAAAATACCTCATAATTGGATACATTTTCTGTGATACAATGATATTCCTGCCAAACTTTTAGTTTAAATAGTTTTAGGTTCTTTACTAAATATATATTTTATATCAATAATATTTGTGCATTTTGTATTGTGTAAGGTCACTGTATTTTATGTTGTATTGTAACGTTTTTTATGTAAAGGGACCACAGCGGAATTAAGTCTTCGGACTTTACTGTGTTATCCTGGTTCAACAAAATTGTTACTTTACATGTTTGTATGTATTTTAATATTGTGTTTTACCAAATAAATCTATCTAATAGTTGACATGTTTCAGCATACTAGGTATGCTGTCCTTAGAACCTTCATCTTGTCTGATCCTCTATATTTACTGCAAATATTATCTAAAATAGAATATATAATGGCACTATAATGTTGTAATGTATATGTCATACCTTGATACATTTCTAAAAACAAATGCAAAGTATAATAAACAGTCTATAGTTGCCTGTCTCTAATGTCAAACTGTAAAAATGAACAAAGGGTAATAACTCTGTTTAAAAAAATTGATGTTTTTTTCTCAGTATTATTAAATATCAGATACAATGAGAGTTATAATGATTAAAACTTCCGAAAATGCTTGGAAATATAGGAGACAAAGGTACATAAAACAGGTCCTCAAGGAAGATTGGCCATGAAGGACAATAACTTTGTCAAGTATTTGATCAACCAATATTATGTAATATTATATTCAGATGCTGGCTGTCGCTGTCTTGTGTGAAGATTAATCATTCCATTATTTGACCAATGGACATTTTACCTTTAATCACCAGGTCCCGTATTCATGAAACCATTCTCATGCTCAAGCATAGATTTTGTGCTCATGCAAACATTTTTTTATAATTCTCCAAAATCATATAAAATAATACAAATGTCAAATATAAACATTGAATATAGCTTTGGCTTGAAGTCCTTTCAAATTTTTTAAAAAATCTTTGGCAGCCTTATTTATTAATTTTTAACTTAAACAAGATATAAGGCTTGAGCACAAAATTCATGCTTGAGCATGAGAACGGTTTCATGAATACAGGCCCTGATGTCTACATGAGATTTTCCACTAAATTGTTTTCATTGAGGATTACGTGGTCACAAATGTTTTGATCGAAGCATCCAAGAACAAAAGTACAAAAATAATCCTAATTAAGAAACTTCAATCTTATAAAGTATGTAAAGGTCTGGCTCTTATGTAAAAAGCTGTGAATTCTACAGTTTTTATGTGGGTGAACAGAACATGTTACTATTGAACCATATTGTACAGCACCTACTGAAATAAGGCTGTATTGTTCAGTATAAGAAGTGATCAGAAAGGCAAGTACATGACTTACATCTTTGTCAATGTTTTCCATGCTTTGAATTGAAGATGTTTTGACAAAATTAGACATAACACAACATCATGACATCATAATCATGTTTTGGCTGGTGTGGCTGGTGTGGCTACAGGGTATATCACACTTACTGATATATACACAAAACATTACTGGGGTGAATTTATTGGATAACGGTAACAAGGTTAAAGAGTTGGACCAAATTTTTCCAACCATAATAGGTTTGGTGGAGGGAAACAGGTATTTATGGTGTATGATTAGAAGACTTAAAATCACCGTAACAGTGACCTTAACACCCTGAAATCACAGTAACAGTGACCTTGACACCCTGAAATCACCGTAACAGTGACCTTGACAACCTGAAATCACAGTAACAGTGACCTTGACACCCTGAAATCACCGTAACAGTGGCCTTGACACCCTGAAATCACAGTAACAGTGACCTTGACAACCTGAAATCACAGTAACAGTGTCCTTGACACCCTGAAATTATAGTAACAGTGACCTTGACACCCTGAAATCACAGTAACAGTGACCTTGACACCCTGAAATCATAGTAACAGTGACCTTGACACCTTGAAGTCACAGACATTTACCCTGACCTGCACACTATAAAATGTAGTAACCGATACCTTGAACGTTTATAATGACAGCAATATCAGCAATGACCCTTGACCTTGGAACCCTTGAATACAAACTAATCTTTTGTATTATTCTCCTTGAACTGAAATCAAATTTCATCTACATGCCTGAAAAAATGGCTGACTCTGGAGTGAATGAGAACAAGTGTTCTTCTTTCCTGTTCAATATGTTGGACAAAATTACAGACAAGACATATTGAATAGAACAATTTTACTCCAGGATATCAATTTAGTTCTCAGTGTTATGTAGAGTCGTCAATGACTCTAGTGTATTAATGTTCCAGTTCTACTCCAGAATGTATTCTCTTGTTATTAAACATCCTATTTCATCCTATAAGTCGCATCTTCTGTCGGAAGCATACTTGATAGAAGAGCTTTACAACTTTTATGCAATTACATTCCACAGTTTTGCTTTCTTGATCAAATTTTCTAATTTTGAATTCCTTTCTGAAAATTATGAGGTAATAATATAACACCATGGAGGTAATCATATCATGACTTTTTTGTTGCTGCTTTCGCCTGGCACGTTCCATTACTACCTATCTATTTCACAAATTTAAACTTCATTTCCTTCCAGCCTGACGTGTATTTCACGAAAAGCAATTTTGTTTGGGAAACATCGGCACGCTTTAGGACTTATCATCACTAAGCTTTTTTTTTGGTGTTAAAAACAGAGAAGCGATACCTCGATAAGTTTTACCCTCTCAAACCCATGGCCATGATTTTGTGTGAAAGTGAGAATTAATTCAAGCTTAAAAGTTATGTCTGCGCTTAAAATCAATAGTCTCATTTTACAACGCTGAGGATTAGAAGCACATTTCCTGTGTGCTTCTCTACAGAGAAAAGTGTTGAGAGTGAAAGAGATACTTGTTGGGAATTCAGGAACAAAAATTGAAAGATCCAGACCTTGATTAAGTTTACATACATTTCATCTATCACAAACTACTACTCTGTAACACTTATTCCCATAAGACCTACTGCTCTTGTTATCAAGTTACAAATTTTACCCCCCATTAAATTGAGACATTTTTTATGTTTATAAGGCACTTAGGTGTTACATAATCTGCTTGTTCTATAAGATGTATAGACTCGTCTGTCTGGCCTGTAAAAATGATCGTGTAGAAGATTACACATCAAATATGGAGGGCTGACCTTGTTTATAACCCTTGGGTTGATCAGACCTGTTTACAGTAGCATCTAAGCCAACTCAATGTAACCTTCCTAACACAGTAACAGCCAGGACAATTCATTGTAACCTTCCTAACACAGTAACAGCCAGGACAATTCATTGTAACCTTCCTAACACAGTAACAGCCAGGACAATTCATTGTAACCTTCCTAACACAGTAACAGCCAGGACAATTCATTGTAACCTTCCTAACACAGTAACAGCCAGGACAATTCATTGTAACCTTCCTAACACAGTAACAGCCAGGACAATTCATTGTAACCTTCCTAACACAGTAACAGCCAGGACAATTTATTGTAACTTTTAAAAAACACTAAGACGTAAGTATCAAGCCTATTTTATTTTGTAATCAGAATATACCCACCAAACCAATTAGAAAATCCATCACTTGAATCATCTAGATACTTGAACTACCTAATCAATGACCATCAGTTTTTTCCTAATTAAGCTACCTATATAAAATATTCAAAGCATCCCTGATGTATCTATTAACTGGTCAGAGGTTTGATGTTAAAGCCATAACACTACTCCTTCTGATAATGGAATTCAATGAACTATCCCTGAACTTGTCCATGTACTGTCTTACACTGACCTTGCTATGAATATTTAATGATGCTGGTAAGTTTATGTAGATGGACAATATCCCTAGTGTGCTGATTAAGTCTTCATCAATACAGGGACTCCTTCAATTGTCACCTGCAATTTCAGTAAAATTAACTGATCTATAATTTTGAAATATTGATGTAACATTAGTATCCCTCTTTCTTTGTAAGATTTTTCATATTTTACGATTGATGTTTTGAGTGATACAGGAAGCCTTTTGATATACATTTATCGAATCTAAACAGGAAGTCTTCTACAGGGTATGTATTCATTATTAAAAGCATTATAAACACCAGGATATACCTGATACAGCTTCTTCATTACACAGTCAGTCTGACAATCCAATGACAGGGCAGTATGGAATGACACAGACTTAATGATCCCCAATCCCACCCTATAATGACCATGTTCCAGGCCTCATCCCCAATGTAACTCTTTCAAATAAAATGTCTCTACTCCTTGGATCAACCCTATACCTATATATGGAGGAGATTCTGGCTGCTGATGAAGCCATCCTAAATTTGTTAAAGCCATTCAAGGGGATTAATGCTTGCTTGCAGCCTCTGAAGCAGGAGATCAGCCTGGGATTATTCTCGGAT